CTCTATTCTCATTTCCTCAATGGCAAAATGCATTTTTTTCTGATTTGGTTGGCAAGAGGTTTTATTCCCAGGTACTTTTCCCTTCCTTCTCATTGGCAAAATATTTTCTGCATTTTTTTCTGGTTTGGCTGGCAAGAGGTTTTATTCCCAGGTACCTTTCCCTTCTATTCTCATTTTCTCAATGGCAAAATAAGCCATTCCCAGGAGGTTGGGCCTGTGGCAGGGAACAGACTCCAGGTGCACTCTGCTCTTACTCCCCCTGCTATCTCCTGGTTCCTCAGGATCAGGAATAGCTCCAGGAGTGCTTGGCAACACCCTGCTCCCAGCCAGCTCCCTGTGAAAGGCTGGGAACGTTGGAGTGCCAGGGTACAACCCAGAGCACGTAGGGCACAGCTCTCCACTCTCTCCCTGTGGGAATGGGGTGGCCCAGCTCCAGGCCCCTCAGTCATTCCCTTCCCTCTGGCTGTGCCAGCACTTCCTGAGCTGAGCTCGGCTTTTCCAAACACACCCTCCCAAAGCTGCTTCCTCGGGACACTTCCTCACCTCTGCTGCACCCAAACAGCCCTCTGGTTGCCCTAATATTATATTAAAATAGAAGTCAAACCCATTTAAATGCAAAGACTTGTTGCAGACAGTCCACTCGGAACCCCGGGATGGTTTGGGTTGGAAGGGACCTCAAAAGCCACGGGCAGGGACTCCTTCCAAAAAGCTGCTGGGCTTGAAAAAGCAAATGCTCCAGTAAAAAAAAAAAAACCAGGAAGGGCTTTGATCACTGTTAGACCATTCATGGAGCTTATTTTGCACACCTCCTTCATTTTGTGCTTCAACTGCTAAAACCCTTTCTGTGTTTGCAAATCTCAAAACATAACTGGGGAAGCCAATGACTCCAGCTGAGTGTTACCAACAGGCACTGCTGCTCCCATTGCCCCAGGAACTTCCAGCCTCCCACTGGGCCAGATCCCAACCCTTGTCTCCTCCACACAACCACCTTTTTCCCTGTTGCCCTACACTCAGAACATCCTGCTAAGTGACTTCCCAAATCCTTCCCCACGGGTGTTTCCTTCTGCAGGGCGTTACCAATGCATTCCTTATCTAATCCCTGTCACGGATTTTGTCAATATTCCCAAATCCACAGGTGCAGATCACGTTCTTACACATTTCTCCAAGATAAATAACAGTGTCAAACCAGCCCAACATCCTTTGCCTACAACCCTCGGGCACAAGGGAGCAGAACAAATATCTCTGGCTTGTTCCCAATTATGCTTGTTTAATAAACACTATTAAAGGTTTACACTTTTTGGCAAATATAACTCTCAGTGCACCTTTCCAGCTCCTGCAGTGGTGTCCCACCAAGATTTCATGGAGGCTTGAGGGAACTTCTTTAACACAACGCAAATGGCAGCGAGGGAGTGAGATAAGGAATTCTGAGCTTATCAAATGTTATGTCATTATGGAATCAAAGTCGCTGGCCGTTGGCAGCAGCTCCCAGAATGCCAGGAATGGATCCTCATCCCTACCTTCGTCCCCTTCCGGCGCGTAGGAAGCCGTGATGATGTCGATGTCGGCGCAGTTCATCACGATTTGGTTGGTTGCATTTTTCACCTGGAAGAGAAACTCCGTGAGCACCAGGAGGAAAAGGTCCCCGAGGCAGGCATTCCCACACTCCCACCCATGCCAGAAGCCCTCCACCAAGGGTCTGAGGTGGAATTTGGTGGTCAGGAGCCGTGAAGAAGCAGCCGGGCCGCGCGTGTTCGATCCGTGCCCGGCCCCACTTATCCCGCCGTAAATTGTTGGAGGGAATGAAGTGCCGGGTAAAGAGGGGTCTGAAAGCCTGACAATGGAGCCCTTGTGCACTCCTGGGAATCCAAGAGCAATGAAAAACGGATGGAGAGCCCATCAGCCTCCTCTGGGGATGATCTATGGGAGACCAGGGCAAAAAGTTGGGATGGGAGATGAGCAGGGACACAACCCCTGTGGGTGCTCGACCCTGGGACCACTTCCGAGGTTAAAAACATCTGCCAGGAGATTCTCCTTCCCCTTTTCCTGTGAGCTTCCCTTCTGCCAGCTCTTGGCTCCACACACTCTCTGCTTTATTTACCAAGCGCCAGCTCCCGGCGTAGGAATAAACTGTGGGGCTGTGCCAGCTCTCTGTTTGAATGCAGAGGGATTCCAATGAAATATAAATTAATTACAAAGGGGTAAAATATTTGGGAGTTAAAGAGGGAGTTATTTAGAAATTGATGGCTGAAACCACCAGAATGGTCACGCTGGATGGAGCTGGGGATCCTGCTAGTCCTGCACGCGATTTCGAGCAGGGGACAAGAGCAGTTCTTCAAATAAAGGAGTAAAAATTCCTCTAACAGCCAAATAGATTTAACATGTGCACGAAGAAGCTGCTTCCTACCCCAGTGTGAGCTCCTCATAGCACAAGGACTTCCACCCCTTTCTTTTTCTTCACTGTTATAACCTCAAAATGCCTGTTAACACCCGGATCCCTCGTTCCAGGTATCCGTGTGTGAACAGGGCAGGAACCAACTGGAACTGCCTCCAGCTCTGGGGTCCCAGCACAGGAGGGACATGGAGCTGTTGGAGCGAATCCAGGGGAGGAAACATCCAGAGGGATGGAGCAGCTCTGCTGGGAGGAAAGACTGGGAAAATTGGGATTGTTCGGCCTGGTGAAGAGAAGCCCTGGGGTGACCTGACTGTGGCCTTCCAGGACCTGAAGGGAACTTACAGGAAAGATGGAGAGAGACTATTTAGGAGGGTCTGGAGTGAGAGGACAAGGGGGAATGGCTTCCCACTGCCAGAAGGCAGGGTTAGATGGGATATTGGGAAGAAATCCTTCCCTGGGAGGGTGGGGAGGCCCTGGCACAGGTTGCCCAGAGGAGCTGTGGCTGCCCCATCCCTGGAAGGGTCCGAGGCCAGGTTGGACGGGGCTTGGAGCAACCTGATCTAATGGAGGGTGTTCCTGCATGGAACTGGATGATCCTAAATGTCCCTTCCAACCCACCCCACTCCACGATTCTCCCTGCAGTGGCAGCTGGTTCCCCTGGGCCAGGAGCTGCTCCGTGCGCCCAGCCCAGCTCGCCCCGCTGGCATCTCCATGGAAACGGGTTTATGGCATGGAAAGGCACCATAAAAGGCTCAGGTGTCCCAGCTGGAGCAGACAACTTCTCCCTCTGCCATCAGGGCCTGGGAGCTGGGCGAGGAGGAGCCGGAAGCAGATATTCCGTGCGGGGCTGCTCCAGCCGGGAATGGTCCCTCAGTCATGGGGGACATAAAAACCAGATTCCAGCCCAGCCACTGATAAGGAGGCTTAAGAAATTTCAATGTGTAACTTAACAGGTGTGTTCCCACATCCATCTGTGAGCCAAAGGGCTCCCACCAGCCCTTCCAGGGAGATCCAAAGCCCACAGAGGGTGGGGAACACACACCGACCTGACTGGGAGCTCCTTTCCAGCCTCAGACACCAACCTTGCTCCTGAAGCAAATCCCTCTGGTTTGCTCCCAACCATGGGATTGTCTGATTTCCTAAATAAAGGTTTAAAGGTGTAATTATCAGTGCATCATTCCAAGCCCTGCAGTGGTGTCACACCAAGAGGTGCAGCAGAGCCACGTCGCCTCTTTATGGAATTAAACCCGAGCCAGTTTTACCCAACAAACCCGACCTGGTTGTGAAAACAAAGCACAAAACGAGCAACTGCAACAGCTGAGGTGAGAGAGAGTAGATTTGATGCTTCTTGCAAAGATTTATAGCCTGAAATCTTATTTTTTTCTCTCCCCAGTTCTGTGCCTGTGAAACTAAACAACTGCAACACTCCCTCCAAGAGCAAAATCAGAGCCCAACAGTTTTTATCACAATATTAGGGTTTGGGGTTTTTCAAGGTCCTCTAAAACACAATAAAATCAGAATGAGAAAAGCTTTTTATAAATGTCTAGAGACCTTTATTCAATCTATAAATCCAAATCTCTCTGGATTCGGAGTTCAAGATGCATTAAGAGCTGTCCAAATTGCAGACAATGTGGGTTTAACAATAGGCTTGATCTTTAAAAAACAGCCTCTTCCGAGGACACAACTTTCAGTGGAGCACTGTGCCTGCAAAATAAGAAAGTTTAGGTTTAAGCAGAGACAATTCAGAGGCTCCTTGGAAAGAAAAATCACCTATTTTTAGGATTTCTTTTTTTTTTTTCCTTGCTTCCTACCAATATCAAGCCAGTTTTACACGAGTGCAACAACCAGGAAACACCTCGAGGGACTAAAGGAACCAGCAGGTTGAAAAAAAAATATTTATCCTCGGCCTCCCAAAAAAACTGAGGGTGAAATTCATGGTGCAGGCAGCAATTGTGAGAGTGGGGTGGCCCAGCACCTTCTGAGGCTCCCAGAATTGAGTTCAGAGGGGGAAAATGAGCTTTCCTGTTGCCCCCCCCCGGGCTCCAGCGTGAGCCTCCTCCCTCTGAGCCACTAAAACCCTGAAGCACAGGCACACCTGTGAGAACAAAAACAGCACCAGAACCCGCCCAACATACTTAACTTATGACCACCTGATGTCACAAGAACCTGCAGCTCAGTAACTGCAGACACCAGGGATGGCCTGGAATGAATCCATGTGTTTTGTTGGAAGTGATACCTCGGAACTGCCTTTTTTTTTTTTTTTTTTTTCCCCAGACAGATGTTTTTGCCCCTGGAGTGATTTTCGTGAATGAAATCGTATGAAAGGGCAAAAATAAAAAAAAAAGCATCTTTCTGCATGAGGTATAAGCAATTACCCAGGTGAATATGTGGGACTGTCACCCTGCTTCACCTTGTTCTAGAACATAATAAATGTACTCTTTTCAGCAGGGAGAGGTTAATCAAGGGAAGAGCAAGATCTAAATGCCCACAGCGAGCAGCTCTGCCCAGGGTTGACACTTAAAACTCAGATGAACCAGCAGGAATATCTGAAATAAAGGAATATAAACCTCTGGCTTTTGGTGGAACTCCGGTAAATTAATCAGAATTCAAATACTTGTTGAGATCAGCCAGACACAGACACCAAAGGGGAGGAAAATCCCAGGCAACAGGAGGGAACAGCTGAAGTTCCCCCCACCAGAAATTTTCCAAGGTAACATCATTTGATGGCAGAAGAGCTAAAAATGTTGATTATTTGGCTCTGCCAAACAGGACTCGAAGATTTTCATCAGAGCAGGAAAAGGGTTTGATGGAAAAACCTTCCTGGGACATCAGGAACAGGGACTTGAATGGCTACAGTGGAATGCCAGCCTACCTGAAATACAGGATGAGGTGCATCCAAAGGGATCTCCCAGAGTCAAAACTGATTCTGCAGAGCCACAGACACGACCAGATAATTGAATTCTTGACACACAGCCCCACAGCCCTCTCCTAAAAGCAGCATTGTAACAAAGCACGTGTGTTTTCAGCAATTTACTCCCTAAAAATAGGCAACTAAAATTACCTCGCTCGTGTCCCGGGGTGTATCTGTTTTTAAGAATTTAAACCTGAGAAAAAGAGATTTTATTAATCTGCACCTCCAGCAAATTTCTGGGAGCCGAGTGGTAAAATTAGCAACGCCAGGACCTGATTGGCCCACTGGGAAAAAAATTCCCTTCATTCCAAAGAGCATCCAGCCCCTGTGTGGCTCTCACACGTGGTGCAGAGGTGTCAAATTCACCCAGCCAAGTAAATCCCTTTGTACATGAGCACTGCAACCTCCCAGCCTCGGGAATTACAGGGCTGGAAGAGCCCTTTTT